CCGACCATTTAACTCGAATGAAATGATAATAACCTCGTCATTTCCATTTGTATCACAAGAATTTAGAGAGAAATGGGGATTAGAAGATACTGTAAACTTATCTGTAAGCATATATATTTTCACATAAATATTCTTTGGTGTAGCAACTCATCCCTGTTCAATCTCTCAAAGTATGAAACACGCAAGAATCATTTATATAATCTTTCTTTTCTGTAGTGTGACACTATATGTACATTAGTTTGTGTGCGGAATATGAAATGTTACTTACATGAGACAATTTGGACATGAAATAGTCATCTGAGTGACTACACCGTGAATGCCAATATAGCTAGTCCACCAGAATATACGAGAAAGAAACAAAAAAAAAAAAAAGAAAAGAAAAGAGGAGCATCTGAGCAGATTTTTCTCGTTTTCTCCTTTCCCTCCAGATTTTTTATCTATTCACCAGCTTCTAGTCTAATTTCTCGTCTCAGCCAACACATATGATGCACATTGCAAGAACCTGCAATCACAGAAAGAATGGTAAAACTTCAGAAGGGAGAATTCTCTAAATTTACTACTCCTGTGAGAAGCAATTCATACAGTATTCTCCTCTGTTTCAAGCAGCCTGAACGGATTGAAAAACCAAATTTGAAAAAGCAAAAGGAAAGTCTATCCTCAATCAAAAATATTCAAAAGAGAATTTCGAAACAAGCCTCGGTGAAAAGCAAAGAGCGGATCAAGTGGGCATCCCCATAATGTGGGAACGACCAAAATGCGATCAATACAACCAAAACCACACCTGTACCCAAGTCATTTTGCAAGGTTTAATCAGAGATCTAAGGCACGCTGTCATCTGGTTCTTCTGTACAAGAATAGGAACAAATACAATGCAAAAGGGATTGTCTGGTCTTTCTAAAAGCACGTTGCTCTGGGGTGATCATTATTTCTTCTTTCCCTGTTTTGAGTAATTAACATTTGAATCCTCATGAAATGTGTCCTGAACTAATTACAAGTAAGAGTTACAATGAATATGCCTTTAATGGTAATGACCATTAGAAATTTTAGTGAACACTTTTCTCGAGTAGTCATAAAAAGGCATACTACTGAGCTGGAGATCCACTAGGTTTCTACTTCTCCAATTCTTGGAAGGAATGGAGATCCACTAGGTTTCTACTTCTCCAATTCTTGGAAGGAATGGAGATCCACTAGGTTTCTACTTCTCCAATTCTTGGAAGGAACGGAGATCCACTAGGTTTCTACTTCTCCATTACTCACAAATTATGCTTTGTAAAAGGTCCAAGTCTGGCACACCCAACAAAGGCTTCTATTACCCCACAAGGACTAGTTGAGAATTGTGAAACACAGTTTTGAATTAGTGAAAAATGGAAATGTAAAGATGATATTCGTATGCATATACATATATATATATATATATATGTATTTATGTATATGTATATCGTGATGTGATATTTAACCCCCAAAATAGTGGTCAAACTATGCTTTTCTAAAACATTTATCACTGGGAGTTTAGATAAGCATACCTCCTTGCTCCACTGCTGCGCTGCAAGATCAATTATCTTGTGGTCTAGCGGCACAAAGCATTTCCACTATGAGGGTCTTCACATCCCTGAAAGGATAAAGAGCAAGTATAACTTTCAATAAAGGAATCAAATAAGCGTCGGTTTGTTTCACTGTTTAACTGAGTTCAACTTAGTTTGAACGGTGAACATAGTTTGAAGTTATGTTTGGTAAACACGCAATCCAAATTATATTTCCTATTGAACTGAGTTAAATTGTCTAACTTAGAGTTTAGCTCTCCCTTTAAGTTGAACCACTCAAACTTAAAATTTTAACCACACATCCAAACGCCAATTTGAACTACAATTTAAATCACACAGTTTGAATTTTTCTATCCAAATGTAAAAGTTCTAATTACAAAAATTCAAACCAGCGAACCAAACAGGGGCTAAGCTTACACAAACAAATGCACTTATAACCTAAGCAATTCAGCAATACGGTCACATCCCTAAAATGGCAAAGAAGCATAACCCAAAAAAAGCTAAGCTTACACAAACAAATGCACTTATAACCTAAGCTATTCAGCACTACGGTCACATCCCTAAAAGGGCAAAGAAGAAGCATAACCCAAAAAAAAAGGAAATTTTTTTTGTCATTGATGGACTATGAAAAACTAAATATTATAAATCACACAATTGCAAAGTTAAAACAAGACTCTCCAAGTATAATCTGACATAACATGAGAAAAGGTATAACTCAGGGAAGATATAATCATTGATAAAGAAATCTCACTTTCGATCTTCTGCGCGTCTAGGGAAAGGTATTCGGAGCTTAAAAGTACTCCCTTGATAACCCGCCTAAAAAGAGAGAGCATCAAACAGTAAAGGAAGTTGCATACCAGCATGAAAAAGAGAATTATAGGAAGAGTTGAACAATAGAGTAGTCAATAGCACTTCTATATATGAAGGCGAATAAGAAAAAAAAATCAAATAGTTTGGTAGAAAACAATTTTTTTTAGGACGTACGTAAAATAGCATCAAGGACAAGAGGTCAAATCTCAACACTACCTTGACATTGAAACCAAGGCTATCCAAGTCCAGCATGTGAGCAAAGTCGACCTGGAGAAAACTCAAAAATTCAGATTTCAAGTACACAATGTATTAATAGTCTTGGGTTGTTTTTTCTATTGGCCCCTGAGGACACACACTTGTCTTACTTTGACTTCCAACCTTTATGTTTTTGGGTTTAAAAAAAGAAAAGATTTGAAAAGAAAATCTACAAAGGAAAAAAAACATATATGAAACAAAAAACAGATTGTGCCACCCAGTCCAAGTCTATTTTTTATTTTATTTTCAGAATTTTTTTACATCTATATATATATATATA